AAATAACAGAACTCTGTGAACTCTCACTATCACCAATGAACTCAAGCAGAACGCGTACAATTTGTTAAGTTTTTATCGGTTCGGACACTACAATAATAATTTTAATAAAAGAAAAGTACGTGCAATAATTTGTTGACACTTCAATTCGTACTTCAACCAAAGTTTTTATGTTGTGATTCATTTGTGTTGTGTGTGTGTGTGTGTACGTTCGTTGGCTTCGATACAAACACCTGGATTAAATACTCGCAGCAATATTCCCTTGGATTATCAACTAAACAGAAATGGATTACAAAAACGATCTTAACTCTGACGACGACTTCGACTGCTCCAATGGCTACAGCGACAGCTACGGCAGCAATGGGCGCATGTCCAATCCCAATGGCCTCTCCAAGGCGGAGCTGAGAAAAGTGAGTGTCAATTGGGCTGATAACAATATCATAGGGCGATAAAATATCTGCATAGACTGATCTGTGCATATATGTATGTGTTTTAGAGTCCTATGAAACTGTATCTCTGAAGATAGTTTGAAATTTGTTAAAGAGTGTGTTGAAAATTTTATATTTTTCGTTGTACAAATTTTAATTTTGTTGATTTCCTATACACAAACATTTTCGTAACATAAAAAAGATCAACCATTTTAATAGTGCAATAAATTTGAAGTTTACATTTCTATTTTATATACTAAAAAATGTTCTCTAATTTTTAAAATATATTACAAATTTTAATAATATATTACATTTTATACTTTCAAAAATTTAGTTTAATTTTTTTTTAATAATTTGTAAAGTCATAAATTTAGATTTTATTAAAATACCTAAAATAAAAGCCTTTATATTTTAAATTTTATTTTCTTTCAATTTTAAATTTTTTATATTTTACTTAAAACTTTAAACTTAAATTAAAAAATATACATTTGTATATAACATTTGCATTTTGTGTTAAAGAAATAAATAATTTTCTAGAAATCGGTTTAATTTCATAATTTAAATTTACTTTGAATACTTAAATTATATTATACATATTACCTTAACTTCACGCAATATTTAATAACTTTATTTTACTTTTACAGACAAATAAACCCATTATGGAAAAGCGGCGACGCGCTCGCATCAATCACTGCTTGAACGAGCTCAAATCGCTGATCCTGGAGGCAATGAAGAAAGACGTAAGTATCCTTAGGAAATCACATAAAAAAATACAAAAAAAATATAAATCCAAATATGGGGCGAAACTTACTGATTTAGAAACTATGCTCGAGATTGGTGCACTTTCCTTATAAATGGTGTCATAAAACCCATAAATATCAGAAACTCAAAAATTTCAAGTGTCTGGCGTCGGCAAAAGTACAAAAGGATACAAGACTCCTACAACAGACAGACGCACAGACGCGCAGACATAAAACAAAACACAAAAAACGAAAAAAAAAAAAAAACGAACGAATCGAGTCAACAGTTTAATTGAGTATTAAATTTTATTGATGATCATTACAAGAGAGCGCCGACGATGACGCTGCCGATGATGGCGAGTCAGTCAGACCAAAAGTGTTAACAAGTCGAGAAATTACGCAGAAATCTCAGACAGCGAGACCGTAAACCTGTTTCCACAGGAGCCAACGGCGGATCCTGCTGTGAGAAAGACACACACAAAAAAAAAAAAGTAAAAATATAAAACAACGAAGAATCGCACACACAAAAAATATGAGATAGAAGCGAAGACGCCGACGTCGATGTCGATGTCGATGTCGATGCTGACGCCAACGCCGACGCCAGTGTAGCAGAATTCTGCAGGCAACGACCAAAAATCAAATAAGAAAGACATTGAAGAAAAAGCAAAAGTAAACAAAAGATGCAGACATGACAAGAAGACGGCGCACGGCAGCAGGGGCTAATGGCCAGAGGGGGGGAGGAGGAGCAGCAGAGGGCAGCTAAGCGAAGCGGGCGACCTGCGTGGGAAACTTTTGCAAAATATGCAGCCAGCGGGCAGCGGACAGCAGCAGCAGCAGAAGCAGAAGCCGAAGCCGAAGCCGAGGCAGAAGCCGAAGCAGCATAAACGAACGTACACAGAAGAAGTGCCAAACAGATTGCGGTGTACCTGTCTGCCTCACTCGCACTGCCCTCTCGCGCGCTCTCGCGCTCATCCTCTCCCTCTCGCCGAGCTTAAGCGTCGCGCGGCTTTGGGGCGTGTGATATTCGCTGGAGTGGAGTGTAGAACAGCAACAGAGGTAGATTACAAATAGTTGGACATATGAGGCAAGAAACGTGCTTGAGCGTCTGCATCATTCACTTTTAATGCCCTGTAGCTGTAGACGGACAGCCAAAGGGGTAGATGCGCTGTGCCAGCAGATGAAAGTTAAAGCTCTTAGCTTCAGCTTATACTTTCATTTGCTTCTGCAACTAACCCATCATCTATAGAGTATAGTACAGGGTATTTTGAGTGCCTGCATGCCATTCGGCTGTCAGCTTACGTGTTTCACTTGTTTCCCATGCATTGAACTTGCTATAGGGCCTTGTGTCCGAGGGTCTTGGCCAGCCTCTGGCTCTGCCGCAGCCGCTGCCGCTGCCGCTGCTCCTGGTCAATGCACGAAAACAATTAGCCGGGCGGCTTCTGCTTTAGAGCTGTTGTTATCCCCACTTTTAGCGCGTCTCAGCGTCTCAGCGTATCGGTCTCGAGTGTAGCCCCAAAACGACACCCAAGCCTGTGAACGACATGAAACTCATCATTATCTGTTCTGTTCTGTTCCTTCCTGACCATTTTTAGCCGGCGCGACATACCAAGCTGGAGAAGGCCGACATACTCGAGATGACGGTGAAGCATTTGCAGTCGGTGCAGCGCCAGCAGCTGAACATGGCCATCCAGACGGATCCGAGCGTGGTGCACAAGTTCAAGACGGGCTTCGTCGAGTGCGCCGAGGAGGTGAATCGCTACGTCAGCCAAATGGAGGGCATCGAGCCGGGCGTGCGCCAGCGCCTGAGCGCCCATCTCAACAACTGTGCCAACAGCCTGGAGCAGATCGGCTCGATGAGCAACTTCAACAGCGGCTATCGCGGCCAACTGCCGCCGGCCATGTTTCCGGGCGCCACGGCCGCTGCTGCGACGGCGGCGCCTCTCTTCCCGCCGCTGCCCCAGGACCTGAACAACAACAACAGCGGCAGCAACAGCAGCCGCGACGGCATCACCCCGGCAGCTCCGGCCATCCAGATGGGCGGCCTTCATCTGATACCCTCGCGCCTGCCGTCGGGCGAGTTTGCGCTGATCATGCCGAATACAGCGACGGCCGGAACTGCGGCTCCAGCGCCGGCGCCCTTCGTCTGGCCACCGGGAGCAGCTGTGAATGCCGCCAGCGCAGCGCTAGCCAGCATTGCCAATCCCACGCATCTCAACGACTACGCCCAGAGCTTCAGGCTGAGCGCGTTCAACAAGCCCTCAGCGCCTGTCCAGACCCAGCTACAGGCAGCTGTAGCAGGAGTCGGAGCAGCAGCAGCGGCAGTTGTCAACGCCGCAGCCAAGAACACCGCCAGCAGTCCACCACTCAGCCCCATCTCGTCCATCTCCAGTCAGAGTCACGGCGACGAGTCGCGCGCTGCCTCCCCGGCGAGTGCCGCCCAGGCGGAGCTCCTGCTGGCCAAGCAGCACAGCTTTGCCGGCGTCTTCTCCACGCCGCCGCCCACCAGCGCCGAGACCTCGTTCAACAGCAGCGGCTCCCTGAACCTGAGCGCCGCCAGCCACGACACCAGCGGCTCCCTGTGCAGCAACAACAACAGCTCCCGGTTGCAGCAGCAGCAAGTCAGCTCCACCAGTGGCCAGGAGGCGGGCAGCATGAAGCGGGAGCGGGAGCGCGAGGTGGAGCTGGAGCGGGAGCAGGCCGATTCTAGCGATTGTTCGTTGTCGGACGAACCATCGTCTAAGAAATTCCTGGCTGCAGCCAGCGAGAAGTCCAGCTCCGCCTGGCGGCCCTGGTGACGCAGCAGCGGCTGTTCCCGAATTATTATTGTCTCTATCTTATGTTAAGTTTATCTCTCTCACTCTCTCATGTTTACTCATGCTCTTGCCCCTCTTGTTAATTTATTTCCACTGCAATTTTCATTGACGTATTCGAGTTTTCAGTTAAGTTTTTCCAGTTTTCACATTTCGATTATTTCAATTTTAAGTTCAGCTGTGATTTTTTAAAGCGTGTATATTTTGTGTAATTTTTTTGTATTTGTATTTGTATTTTATTATTAATATTATTATTATTATTATTATTATTACTATTATTAATATAATTATTATGTATTTTAGCAACTTGTCATATTTCTTGTTTAGTATTAAATATTTTTTATCAAACTACAATTGTCAGCATTCTTTCACTAAGTTATGTAGATCTTAGCCTCAAGTCTTTCATGTTTTCCGCCTAGTTACGTAGAGGTTATTAAAATTATAATTTTAGCATAAACTTTATGAAGTTTGAATGAGTGAACAAATAAAAACGAAAAGTTAAAATAAAAGAAAACTTTATGCATTTTATTTATTTATTTATTTATTTTTTATATATATTAAACTATAATATTTACAAATAAAAAGTGAAGCCAAAATGCTTCAAAAAAGCTAAACATAAAATATTTTCATTTCTTTAGTAATAAAATTTTATAAATTATAAATTAAAATTTTTAAAATTAAAAAATTAAATATTTTACAATACATATATTTATTATAAAATATTTGACTATTCATTTTTAATTATACAAAATTTTAATGCATAGTTAATATATTTTTGTTATTATTACAATTTATATTATTATTGTAAATTTCCAATACCCTATTCAACCTTGACCCATTTGCATTTGAACCAAGCCGAACGGAAGCTAATGCTTGCACAAGCTTCCGCTGATAATAAACTCTATGTTACGGAACTGACCTTCGCGTTCATTTTTGCAATGATTCAATGGACTGATAGAGCTGATTGCTACTGCGCGCTCTCTATATAAGCAGATCTGGTTTGACTTTACCGGCATCACACTTTCACAAGTTCGCACACAAAAGTTATTGCCGCAGAGCACGCAGTGAGCCTCAGGCGTGCCTCGATTTACGATAAAGTTTTAAGTTGAAAACTCAGTCTCTATCACCATGCTAGTGAAATTCGTCTTAGCTCAACTCGGGCTGGTCGGTCTACTGTGCCTAGCACCGGCTCAGGCTCAGTATCGCGCCTCACCCAAGCTCGCAGGACCCGCTGCTCTCGCAGAGAACTCAGCTGATCCCATTCTCAACTCCCTGGATGTGGCCATGGATAAGATAAGCAATATATATATCCAAGCGCTGCTTTCCGGCACGCATACGCCCGAGCTGGAGATTTCACTGCGCGCTCTGGAACTCGAGCTGTACGAGCTGCTCGATCAGCTCTATAAGCAACATCGCCTGAAGGACTACATGAAATACGAGTCGGCAGTGTCGAAGCAAATGATTATCTACAATTTGCTAAAGGAACTCTTTGGCTATACGCAGCACATTGAGAAGTCATAGTAAAAGTGATTTCGAGCATTTCTGTTCAATAAATTGATTTACATCCTTTCACTCTCTACGCATTTATATTTGAGGTTTTCCAATTTAAAACACTTCCGCATTGGCTTCCGCACAGGGAGCCTGTGTCCTGCGGCTGCCTTGCGTGTGGCTGTCGAGCGACACAGCGGACTCAGCTCTCGCCCGTCGCAGTCCCTTCAAGTCGCGATCGCCTGCGATCCCTTCCCACACTCAATCATAACAACACGGCGTCGGCTGCTGTTACCCGATCTGCTGTGAGAACGAACTGAACAGAATTATCATAATTTTCATTTCCTTTTAGTGCTATTATCCTTTGGCAGTCTCCAAATACCGTTGCACTTGTTCGTCGTGTTCCCACCACATACACACACAGAGATCCTCGAGATCCTTTATCTCTCTGCTCGCCTCGCTGTTTGCTTTGTGGCTCGCAGGACCTGCGCCTGTGTTTGCATTGCACTTGTTCTGTTGAGCCTTTTTCTCTTTGTCTGTGTTTGCTGTGATTTGATGCTGCGATCGTTTCTCTCTCTCTCTCTCTCTCTCTGGTCGTCGGCTTGTCTATGTGAAATTCTTGTGCATTTCGTTACGGTCGATCACTTTTGTTTTTACTTTTGATTTCGTTTCCCTGGGCATGAGAATCTTTTTTATGCTGGCATTGAAGTACGTTTGGCACAGCTCATGGCCAGAGAGTTGCATAGATTGTTGCCTCCAAGTGGGTCGCTATGCCAAATGCGCAGTTGCTGAGAAACTGGTTATATTTAAGAAAAAATACAAAATCCAGGAAGAAATTATCTCTATTGTCCATGGACTTGTGGAATTTCTGGTTTAATTTGCGCAATGGCAACGTCTCGGCGCCACACAGGATACTCAAATTTTCGAAGAAACCCCTCACGATAAACTAGTTTCTAATTCGCATATCTGTAGCATCTCTATCTCTAATCTATTTAATTGCAATTAACTTGGCAAACATTGTTGCAAACATTGTTTTTTTCCCACACTTAATTTCGGTGTAAACCCAAGAAATCTCATTGGTATTATAATAGAGATATCCTTGCAAACAAACAAACAACAAAGTCATGCAGTGCTTAACAAGAATTCTCTCACACTCCCACACACAAACACACACATAGAGAGGAACGCATTTAACATATACCGAATGCGATCCTTTTTGGCCACAGCAAAGGATGAAATGAATTTTACCGTCTACCTGTCTCGAAGCAAATTCAAATCGCTTGCATTTTTCACACGACCCAATGTGAAATGCCTGTGAATGGGCCCTGATAACCGTGCTCGGGTCCTGTGCGTCCAACAAGTGCATCTGAAATGGAAATAAAGGAGCAGATATCAATAACCCACAGCAAATATGCGTGAGATAGCAGCCAGATTTCAGCTTTGCGTAATAGCTACATGCAAAGAAATCAGTTCTGCGATCTGCCAAGAATATTTTCCCAGCCACAAGGCTCCATGGGGTCAATAGAGTCCTTCAGGTAAACGCCTCTCGAATTTGAGACGGAAGTGCCCACGCGTCGCGCACTTGAAATATACGAGAAAAAAAAGAAGAAAAACGGGGGAAGTGAACACAAAATTCTGAGTGGTTACAAATTCGAATATCACGCGTATGATTTGTGGCATATTACAGGAAACAAATTGCTGTCGATTTTCCATCCTAGGTTTCCTTTTTCTCTTTTTGTTATGCGTGAAAAGGGAAAAGAAAAGGCTGCAGCGAGGAAAATCGAAAGTTACTTCCGTTTCATGCTGAGATTTTTTTGAAGGGAACCCTTTGCATGAGCACCATATGGCAAGATTTGGTCGGAAGTTGGAAAGGAGTAAATAATTTGTATATACATATCTTTTTAGATAAGAAAATACTTAAAAATACAAAAATAAAAATTGACAAAAGATGTAGACGCAAAGGACAATGTGTACAATATTCTACTAATACTCTGATGAGGCTGCGATATCTTTAAGAAATTAAGTAATTTCTTCCTACATAATATAACGTATATCTCAGGTGATCATAGGACTATACAGATTATTATTGTTAATATTGAAACTAATATTATATTTTAATATTAATATTTATAATAACTTTTATATAAACTATCAGATTAATATAGGAATATATAATATTATACATTAATGCTAATATTTTTTATATATATTATTTTTATATTTCCCACCATTTATAAAAAACACTTGCCGCTTATTCTGAATTTTCTTTTATTTGTTTTTACAATTGCTCTTGAATGTATTTTGTGCACATTGAACGTTTCCAGTAAACACTTTGCACTTAGCTTAACCATACATCATTTTTTAGATATATTCTATAGTTATTCAATTTTTACATTGTATAGGTTAAAATTTGGCTTTTGACTGAGCATTATTATTTAATTAATTAATTTGATTTTTATTTTTTCGTTTTATACAGGATATCGCTTTTTGTTCGATTGTTTTAAAACGTGACAAACTAAATAATGTATTATAATATATATACTATATGCTGTTTATATATCCGCGTTGAGTCAGATAATTGAAATATTTAAACTATTCAATTTGTTCGTTATGTTTTGTCTGTCTTCTGTCTGTTCTCTGTATTTACTTTCCTAGTTGCTCGTTTATTGCGCTTGTGCGTTTTAAAGGTTTTCGTTTGTGCTCAATAAATTAGTTTAAATGCATTTTACATGAGTTTGTTGATTTTAAAAACATGTTTTGCTTCTACAATTGGTTGCTAATTTGTAATTGTTTTTTTTATTTTTTATAATAATATTTTTCACTAATTGGCAAAATATTTAGTGCTTGTTTTAAATGTTAACTAGGCTGCCATTTGTTTTGTTTTGTTTTGTTTTTTATATATATAAAATATTTACAAAAATTGAGTTTTTATAGCTGCACTTGAACTTGTTTAACTAAGTCTACGAACTAGAAAAATTTACAAATGCACAAATATGAGAGTTTCATATTAAATGAAATCAGTTTATAGAAAGAAGGCGAATTTGTTGTAAACTTTGCGACAATTAGAGAAAGGCGCTTTAACAAAACAACAACAAGAAATCAGAAATGATTTTCAATTTATAATATAAGGACATTTTTCTTAAGGACATGAAACAAGGAGCCAGGAGATGCCACAGTTGCTAATTAGGTTCAGCGCTCTTTGGATGGACGGCGCTCTCCCGACCCCCCTACACCTTCTCACTACCACCAACAAACATAAAGGAAATAAATTGTATACAATAAAAAAAGGTTTACAAAATTCGTAATATGGCTACGCTATCAGTCCATTGTTCGTGTTCAAGTCGGTTTGCATTTGGATTTCAATGTGTGCGTGAGTATATGTGTGTGTGTGTGTTAAGTGTACAACAATCGGTGAGTGTGCTTAGCACCGCTCTTGATCATGGCTGGCTCGACTCAATCATCAGAGTATGTCCGGCGTGTGCGTCTCGTCGTGCGTGTGCTGCAAGAGACCCTTTCTCTCATCCGGCGCCGTGCTGTGCGCAATCTCTGCAATCGCTGGCTCCGCTATGGCATCCGCGTACATCGACTCGTACACGGGATTGGCAAAGTTGCCCTGCAAATAAAAATGGGGCGTAAGTGTGTGTGTGTGTGTGTGCGTTGGCTAATTGAGTGCTCTGCATACCTTGTCGTCTTCGTGAGCGAAGGGCGGCGCTTCGTCGGCGTCGCCGCGGTACATGGGATTGGTCAGCATGATCTCCACATTGTCCGTGAGCCGAGCATGTGAGAAGGGCTGTGCAATGCGATGTTTTCTGCAAGTGAACAAAAGAGATTACTATGTAGAACAGATTCCATATTCAAGCACAAGACTTACTTGAGGAAATAGAAGACAGCGCCAAAGAGCATGAGCACCAACGTGACCACTAAGAGCACCGCCAGCACAGACAATATGCCAGCGGATTCGTTGTGATCTTGCTCCCCACTCAGGGCCACGGCGCTCTCCGCCAGGCAGGGCACCACCCGCTTGTTCTCACACAGGCATTCGTTGATGGAGCTGCCCGTGCGGCAGACGCTGCACTCGCCCACACAGTGCGGCGGCAGCTCACAGAAGTCGCCCTGCCATTCGCCGATGCAGGTGCAGTGGGGCAGGCGGTATTGGTTGAGATGGCAGAGGCCGCCGTTGGCACAGTAGCGCACGCAGGGATTGTCGTCGGCGACGTTCGTCGTGCAGAACTCCCCGTTCCACTGGTCCGTGCAGTTGCACATGGCGACGCCCTTGATGACATGGCAGGTGCCAGAGTTTTGGCAAATGAGGCCCGTGCAGGGATTGCGCGACGGCTGCGTGGAGGCATCACAGAAGTGCGGCGGTATCGAGCTCTTGCACAGATCCGATTCGCAGCGTTCGCCAATGTAGCGCGTGGGGCAGGTGCAGCTGAGGCGGTGGCCACGATCTATACAGGTGCCGCCATTCTGGCAGAAGTCGCGGCAGGAGTTCGCCTCGCAGTGCTCCCCGTAGTAGCCGCTGGGACACTTGCACTGGCGCTGCCCCTTGGCGCCAATGATGCAGGTGCCGCCGTTGTTGCAGTAGTTGGCGCACTCATTGAACTCGCAGCGCTTGCCCGTGAAGCCATCGGGGCACTCGCATTGCGGAGCCCCCGTCAGGGTCTCGCGACAAATGCCGCCATTCTCGCAGGTCAGGTTGAGGCAGTGCTCGCACTGATCGCCCACGTACATGTCCGGGCAGCTGCACTTCATGCCCTCGGCCTCGGTGACCAGGCAGGAGCCGCCATTGTGGCAACGACTCTGGCAGTCGGCGACAGACACCTCGCAGCGAGCGCCCGACCAGTTGGGCGGGCAGGTGCACTTGAGCGGCGGCGGATCCTGCAGCCCGGGCAGCTGTGGCGCCACCGTGCACAGACCAAAGTTCAGGCAGTAGCCGGAGCAGCGGTAATGCTCGCACAGCTCGCCCTCATACTGCGGCTGGCAGACGCATTTGGGCACGTGATTGATCACCTGGCAGGTGCCCAAGTTGCAGAGCAGCGGACAGTAGTTGGGTATATCGGTGTGCGCCTTGCACACGCCCTCCTCGGTCATCACGTACTCGTTGGGGCACTTGCAGCTGTAGCCACTGGCCGTCTCTGTCGAGAGGATGCAAAGGGCGCGCAGCGCTTTGCAGGGATCCTTGGCGCAAGGATTGCTTACTGCGAATGGAAACATATATTAGCTATAGACACTCTGCCAGTCATCCAAAGGCTGTACTCACTATTTCGATTCTGTTTCATCGGATGCAGTATGCCAATGTCGGAGGAGCGATAGCCCTTGAGCAAGTAGGTGCCGTTGTCGTTGCCAAACTTGTTCATCTTGATGATGCTCTGATCGTACAGCTTGATGTACAGATAGTCCTCAAAGACGTCGATCTTTTGCGGCTTCTCGCGGTTGCCAAAGCGTCGCACCACATTGCGCTCCTTGCCGTTCAGGCGGCACGTCTCAATGGTGCCCTTGCGGTAGTCCGCCCAATACAGCCGGCCCGTGGGATAGTCAATGGAGAGGCTGATTGGCCAGCCGACATCGCGCTCCACCAGGCTCTTCTTGTTGGTGCCGTCCAGCGAGGCCACCAGTATGCCGTTCTCTAGGGTGGACCAAATCATGACACGCGACTCGGGCTCCAGCACAATGTCCGTGGGATTCATGCCCGTGGACACCAGGGAGATGTACTTCTTGCCCTCGATGTCAGTGGCAATGATTTGATTGTGGCGCGAGTCGACGATGTAAACCATTTGGGTTATCCAATCCACGGCCAAGGACTTGGGATCATCCAGATCGGGTATCTACGGCAAAAGAGAAGCTATTAATTTAAGTCTCTCGGGAATCATAATTCACTCACATTGAATGCCGTCAGTTCCTTGAGATCGCGACGCACCCGCACGCCCGTGCCTTCGACGTGGGGCGTGGCTATCTTCATGGTGTGCACCTTGCCGTGATGCGAGTCGATCCAGAAGAGCAACGTGTCCTTCGGCCTGATCAGTATATCGAACACGTCAATTTTCAGACTGTCCGTCTGGAAGAAGCCGACGACCGTGGTGCCCTCCTGCTTGGCTGGCAGTATAAAGCGGAACTCCTGCTCCGAGGCCAGCAGCAGTATCTGATCCGGGCCGGAGGCCAGGCACGTGGCATTCTTGGCACCGCCCTTGTAGTAGCCCGTCGTACACTTGCAGTTGTAGTGGCCCGCCTTCTTCTCAATGCAGATCTGTGAGCAGGTGCCAAAGCCGCAAACCGGCGGCTGGCAGTTCATCTCGTCGGAGCCATCGATGCAGTTGTACTGCCCATCGCAGCGGAAGTTCTTCGAGATGCAGTCGTCGTTCTCGCACTGGAACTGATCGTGACGACACTTGGGCAGCGCTGCGCACACCTGATCCGACTCGTCCTCGTTGTTGCCACAGTCGTTGACGCCATCACACAGCGCCGACTTGCGTATGCACAACAGATTGGCGCACTTGAAGGCATTGTAGTGGCAGTGGACATGGGCGCAGGTGTCATAGCTCTCGTCGCTGCCATCCAGGCAGTCATCCCAGCCATCGCACTTCCAGCGCGACATAATGCACTTGCCGTTGCCGCAGGTGAAGTGATCCGGCGGACAGGTGCAGTTCACCTCATCGGAGCCATCCGGACAGTCATCGTCGCCATCGCACTGATACTGTCTGAAAGGGAAGATTGGGAATTAACTCCTCCACTATTTCATGGGCAGCTGAGGGCAACTCACTTGTTGATGCACGTATTGAAGGCAGCGCACTTGAACTGGTTGGGCTTGCAGGTGATGTTGCAGTTGATCTCGTCGCTGCTGTCGTCGCAGTGAATCTCGCCGTCGCAGCGGAAGTCGTGCTTGATGCACTTGCCTGTGCCGCACCGGAACTCGCTCTCCGAGCAGTTGCGCATTTGGCAGTTCAGCTCGTCGCTGCCATCGCCGCAGTCGTTCTCATAATCGCAGCGCCAACGGCCGGGTATGCACTTGGAGTTGTTGCACTTAAAGTACGTCGGATCGCAGGTGGCCTTCGAGGTGTGGCAGCTGGGCGGCTCGTCCTCGCCATTTGGACAGTCCACCTCGTCGTCGCAGCGCCAAGTGAGCGGTATGCAGCGACCCGAGTTGCATCTGCAAGTGATTCAATTTTAGGCATACAATGAATAATTATTTATAATAAAGTAATATATATTTTATATAGTATAACTATAAAAAATACACATAAATTAATAATAACGGACTACAGAATACTCATAATATAATAATAATAAATTAAATAATTATAAATAAATATAATATAGTAATAATAAATTAAATAAATAATAAAAATGATTTAAATAAGTAATAATGAATTAAATAAATATATGTAGTATAATCACAATTAATAGTAATAATAATTCTATTATTATATAATAACAAATAAATAATAATTAAAATGATAAATAACATTTAAAGGTATTAATAAAAAATTATAATTAATATAAATAGTTAACAAAAACAGGTACCAGCATATCCATAATAATAATGAATAAAATAATAAATAATAATAATAAATTAAATAAACAATAATAATGAATTAAATAAATAATAATAATGAATGAAATAAATAATAATAATGGATTGATTAAATATATGTAGTATAATCACAATTAATAGTAAGATTAATAATCAACAATACAAATAAATAATAATTAAAATGAATAACATTTATAAGTAATAATAAAACATTATAAATACACACAAATAATAATTTTAAAAATAATATAAATAAATAATAATACAAATTAATACTATTATAATAAATAATGAAACATTATAAATAATATAAATAAATAGTAAATAATAACAGGCACCAGAATACCCATAGTATAGTATAATTCAAATATATAATATAATGCATAATCTCAAACAATAATTTTAAATAAATAATAATACAAATTAATACCAATCATAATAAATAATGAAACATTATAGATAATATGAATAAATAATAGTAAAAAATAACAGGCAAGAAAGTAGCTACCGACTGAGTATTACTGTTGACTGTAAAAATTCGTGCTATAAGAATTCATTAATGAATTCATTAATACAATATAATATATAAAGCATAATATAATATACACTCTAGCAAACTAACAATAAACAATAAAAAACGTGTAATAACAATAAATAATAATAGAAATGAATAATAATTACAAATAAAATACTCATAACAAATCTTAAGTAATAAAGTTTAACCGAATTCTGAATACTCGTTCAGATTTACTCCAGGTATAAAATTTCATTTTAAAGCTTGCCAATAGTAAACTCAACTATACATCTATTTATATTTATATTCTATAGTGTGAAATGGATTTTTTAAAACTCACTGAAAATCATTAGGTCCACAGGAGACGTGATCGCAGTTCGTCTCATCCGACTTGTCGGCACAGTCGATATCCCCGTCACAGACCCAGACATAGGGCATGCAGCGATTGTTGCCGCACTGGAACTGATCCTTCTTGCAGACGAGTGGCGTGCAGCCCGCCTCGTCCTCGCCGCCCGGGCAATCCCTGACGCCATCGCAGCGCTTCACACTGTCCACACAGAAGGCGGAACTATTGCCGGTTGCCTCGCACTTCAGATGGTTCTCGAAGCAGGTGAACTTGTCACAGTTGAGCTCGTCTGAGCTGTCGCCGCACTGATTGACCCCGTCGCAGATTGCCGACGGATGGATGCACTTCTTGTTGCTGCACTGGTACTGGCCCGGCTCGCAGTGGAAGGGCGGGCAGGTCTCGGGCTCGTCGCTGCCATCGCCGCAGTCGTCCTGCGTGTCGCAGCGCCAGTAGAACGGAATGCATTTGTACGTATTCACGCACTCGAAGTGCGCCGCCGTGCAGTTGGCCCGACAGGTGCGTCCGTCCTCGGCGAGCACGAAATTGTTCGGACAGGCGCACTTGTAGTAGGGCGGCTCCGGTGAGAGCAGGCAGAGCGTGGAGCAGTTGGCGTGCAGGCAGGGATTGCCGCTAATCGGCTGCTGTTGGCGGTACGGATGGAAGACGCGCAGGTCCATGGGCCTGTGTATGGTCGTGATGAGCGTGGAGCAGTTCTGGCCATCATACTTGTTGCAGTACTCAATGGACTTGGTCTCCCAGTCCGACCAGTAGATGCGATCCTCCCACACGGCAATGGCGAAGATGTGATGCAGATTCAGAGCCGGATTGATGCTGCGCGCCAGCAGCAGGCGCGTATGATTGCCATCCAAGTCACTGACCGAAATCGTATCCTCTCTGGCATCGCCCCAGAACAGCTGTTGGGTCTCGAAGCTTATGGTCAGGGCGTTTGGCCAGCCCAGATTCTCGCGTATGATCATGCGCGGCTGTGAGCCATCCATGCCCGCCTTGCCAATATGCGGATTGTCGCCCCAGTCGGACCAGTAGATGTGCCGCTGATACGGATCCAGGGCGATGCCTCGCGGCTCGCGCAGCTGCTCGTTGATGAGCACGCGCCGGTACTTGCCGTCCAGCTGGGAGACCTCTATGGTGTCCAGGCCCTTGTCGCACCAGTACAGGTTTTTGGCCACCCAATCGACGGCGAGTCCGTCCGGATTCTTCAGCATGGCCTGATGCAGGGTCTGGGTCTTGTTCTCCGCCGGGCAGTAGCGCTTGATGGTGGCCACAGTGCTGGTAACATCCGACCAGTACAGACACTGGCTGTCCCAGTCAAAGTCCAAGGCGACGGCATTGGAGAGCGAGTGTATCAGTATGGAGCCGTTGCCCGTGTGGTTCACCTGCCGGATGTAGTAGCGATTCGAGAAGATCAGCTTCATCGTCACATTGCTGGTCGCCTTGCAGGTGTGATGGTCGCGCAGCTCGTAGCCCTTGGCGCACAGGCACTTGTACGAGCCGTACGTATTGATGCAGGTCTGCGAGCAAGGCTGCTGCTCGGCGCACTCATCGATGTCCGTGCAGAGGTGCGGACTCTTTGGCAGCACCTTGTAGCCGGGCCGGCAGCGGCACTCGTAGCCCACCACCTTGTCCACGCACTCGTGCTCGCAGATGTCCGCATTGAGGCACTCGTTCTCATTGCACAGCTCCTCGTCCGAGAAGTCGCCGCAGTCGTTCCGTCTGTCGCACAGCAGATCCGCGCTGATGCAGGCGCCATTCTTGCAGCGGAAGTCGTCGGCGCCGTTGCAGGCGCGCGTGTGCATGCAGAGCGAGGGCAGCTCATCGGAGCCGTCGCCGCAGTCCGGCTTGCCGTCGCACGTCTGGTTCTTGAAGATGCACATGCTGTCCTGGCAGTGATGCATTAGCGCTCCGCCCGGACAAGCATGCGGATGATAGAGCGGCTCACAACCATCGTACTCATCGTCGCCGCCGGGACAGTCCTCGTCGCCATCGCACACGTAATGGGAGTCTATGCATTGACCTGCGGCAAGGAGATGCAACATTTTTTTATAAAATTTAATTGTATAATTTATCTAAATAATTACTTTTTATATTAATTTTCTTTGTTATTTATAATATTTTTAATAACTTATTTATTTTTAAAAAGTATTTATAATATTTTCATTACATTTTGTTTTTAGTTGTTATCAATTTTTTTGTAATATTTTTGATAACTTATTTATTTTTTTTTAAATATTAATAATATTTTAATTATCTTTTTTTAGTTTTTATCAATTTTTTTATATTTTTAATAACTTATTTATTTTTTAAAAATATATATAGTATTATCTTTTTTTAGTTTTTATCAATTTTTAAAATTTAATATTATGTATATTTATTATTTTTTGTGATTTTTAAATAGGTTTTTATAGTTTTTATTAATTTATTTATTTAATTTTTTAACTGCTGAATTTAATTTTTTAATTTATGTTAATTGATTAGTTAAATTAATAATAATACTAATATAAAAATATACATATTATTTTTAATTTCTTTATCGTAATTAATTTTTAAATAAATAGCTGATGACTTTAATTTAAATGTGTTCATATATATTTATATTATAAGAAATATATATATATTTTTAATTGTTATTAATTTTTTGTTATATTTTTAAAATTTATTTTTCATTCATTCATAGATTAGAATTTAATAATTTTGTGTAATATTGTTTTACTTATATTTTATTTATTTATATATTTTAAAAATTTATTTATTAAATAATAATGTGACTTACCAGTGCTGCACAGGAATGCCGGTGGCTGGCAATCGGGTATGTGGGCAACGCCTCCACAGTGCGGCCCCTCATCTTCGGCGCCCTGATCGCCGTTGCTGGGACAGTCCTTCTCGCCGTCGCACACCCATTTCTGTGGGATGCAGCGGCCGGAGCTCTTGCACTGAAACAGATGGGCGCGGCAGGTGCGATTCGGGCACTGCGGCCCCTCGTCGGTGCCGTCCTTGCAGTCGCTCTTGCCGTCGCACTGCCAGCTGCTGGGTATGCAGCCGTCGTCGCAGCTGAACTGGTTCACCTGGCAGCTGGTGCGGCAGTTCAGCTCATCGCTGCCCTTGTCGCCCACGCTGTCCATGCAGTCGTTCTCGCCGTCACAGCGCCAGCCGGCGGCGATGCAGCGCCCGTTGGCACACCGGAACTGGCCCAGCTCGCAGGAGGCGCGCGTGCTGTTGCTGCAGTTCAGCTCGTCGGTGCCATCGGGACAGTCCGGCTCGCCGTCGCAGCGCCAGGAGTGCATGATGCACAGAGTGCTGTTCTCGCAGTGCTCGAACAGCGTGTCGCCCTGCTCACAGGTGCGCTGCGGGCAGTGCTTCTCATCGCTGAAGTCGCGGCAGTCGCGCATGTTGTCGCAGACGAAGTTGCGCGAGATGCACTCGCCGCTGCCGCAGCGGAACTGCTCCGGCTGGCACTTGCAGAGCAGGCTGCTCTCGTCGCTGCCGTCGCCGCACTGCTGCAGCCCGTCGCAGGTCTGCTCCTGGGCAATGCAGCGATGATTCTGGCACATGAAATAGTTCTCCGGGCACTTGCGGATCACACAGTAGTTGCGCAGCTCATCGGAGCCGTCCAGGCAGTGGGTCACATTGTCGCAGGTCAGCTCCAGCGGTATGCACTCGCCCGAGTGGCAATTGTACTGCGACTTGCCGCAGTTCGTGTGCATCGGGGCAATGCAGCGCCGTCCATCGGGCGCCAGCACGCCCTGGGTGCAGTGGCAGCTGGCCAGCCCGTCCTTGCTCAGGATGCAGACATCCTCGCAGAGGCCGTTCAGTATCTTGCACTGGTTCGCGTCGCAGTTGATGCTGCTGTTCTGCACCGCTATGATGCCCATGGGGCGGGGCACGTTCTCGCGCAGGAATAGCACATCCGTGCCGGTGTATTTGTTGGCTCGCACCACGGCGTGCAGCACCCAGTCCGTCCAGAACAACAGATCCCCATAGACGGCCATGGCGAAGGCGTGCTTGGGCGTGGTATGCGCCAGCACCACTCGATTCGTGCCATCATAGTTGACCCGCTCAATCTTGTCCAGGCGCGCATCAGCCCAGTACAGCTGCTGGTGCTCCAGGTCAAGAGTGAGGGCATTTGGCATTTTGATGTCGGTGCGTATGATGCGCTCGACGCCATAGCCCGTCAGATAGGCGCGCTGTATGCTCGGCGACTCCTCGTTCCAGTTGGTCCAGTAGATCATGCCCAGGCACGGCTCCACCGAGATGCCGCGCGGCTTGTCCTTGCTCTGCAGCCTCAGCACATTGCGCACATGCGGCAGATTCTTCTCGGCCTCCGGCGACGCATACTGCAGCTCCAGACTGCGTATGGCCGCATCGTTGTTCGACGTCCAGAAGAGCTGGTCGTTGACCATATCGTAGGCCAGGCCCTCGACCCGCCCCTGCTGCATGATCAGCTGTCGCTGGCCGCTGCCATTGAAGTGCACCTGATTGATGGTGCTCAGCTGGACGTCCGAGTAGTAAACCAGCTGCGCCTCGTAGTTGTAGCTGATGGCCACCACATTTCGCATCAGCGTCTCGTTCGTGATGATCTGCACGGGCCAGTTCTTGTTGGCGTGCTCCGTCATGTGGATGCTCTCGATGTTGCTGCGGTAGCTGAAGAGCAGGAAGTTGTCGTACGGCTCACAGCTCAGCCCGTCGGCCGCGAGTCGGCTGTACGAGCAGGCGCAGATGGTGTTGGTGCCGTTGTAGAGGCACAGGTGCTGGCAGCCTCCATTGTTTTGGGCACACGGATTCGTGCCCTGCTGCACACGCTTCGAGTATATTTTCAGATCCCTGATGGCATCCTGCTCGAGTCGGAGCACTTCGCGTGATTGCGATAGATTGGCCAGTGGAGCTACCTTAATGAAACCTATGCTGTACGAGTTGCCCGCCCAGTAGAGGTAGTCTCCCAGCTTGGCCAATGCCACAATGTCGTTGACCGTATCGTTCAAGAGCTCCTCGCGTAAATTTCCATCGTAGTCCACCTTCATGAGCGCATTTCTGGAGCACCAATAGACCTTCGTGGCATCCATGTCCACAATCAGGCTGTTCACTGGCCAAGTCGCGTGCGTCTGATTGACCAGCACGAACAGCTGACTGCCGTCCAGGCCGGTGCGTCCAATGTACTGATCGGTCACAAAGAAGAGCATGCCCTGCACTGGATCCACAGCCAGGGCGGTGGGTCTCTCGACGTTGGCCACAACCACATAGCGATGGCTGCCATCCAGACGCGAGACCTCGATGATGTTGCGCTTCATGTCGCTCCAGTAGATGTTGCCCGCAATCCAGTCGATGGCGATGCCACCCAGCCAATCCTGATGCTTAAAGTCGGCCAAAGTGATGGCCTCCAGCACGGTCTCCCGGTGACTGCCATCCCGACGCACGCGCGAAATGGTGCCCAATTCGCTGTCGCCCCAGTAGAGCATGTCCGTGGCGGCATGGTACTCGATAAAGGTAGCCAAGCTAGTGCGTGAGATGGGCACCAGAGCCTGAATTGAAAGGTAAAAGAAAAGGTTTATCAAAATAGATTCCAGCACATGCTGCAGTACTCCTTCCATACCGGTTTGGGTGTCTCGAACTGTTCGCTGGGATCGATCATTTCGACGCCTTGCAGCACATCAATGGAGTAGAATATAAACTCAGCGCGCGGTACGCAACGGGTTGGATTGTTCGGCTCCACGTCGTAGCCCAGAGCACAGCGACACACATGGTCCGTGGCCGAGGTGGCCAGGCAGAGCTGCTCGCAGCCACCGCGCAGGGGCCCAGCACAGGTATTGGTGCCCGTTTGAGCCTCAGCATAGAACATTTTCATGCTCTGAATACTCTCTGTATGGGTAAAACGAAAGAAGGAGAGAGTAAAGTAGAGATGAGAACAAGTTTGAAAACTCTTGTAGGAAATTCCCTGAATGAGCGATACTAACAATATACTAAAAAGGGCTGGTCTATAATAATTTTCGACTAAAGAAAGGGTATCATGTTACTATAGGTTTTTCATTAATAGCATTAAAACGGGTGTACTAAATGGGAAACTAATCAAATACTTTAAAGTGTCTACGTTTGGTAGGCCCAGAGATCTAAGCATTTAAATATGCGGACAAGCAGACAGACAAAGGCTTAAATTGACTCAATGCGTCATTCTAATCAAGCATATATATTGGGTCATTCACGCCTCCTTCTCCTTCTAATCAAGCATATATATTGGGTCATTCACGCCTCCTTCTCTCACTTCAAGGTAAAGCACTTTCTCCACCTACTTGTATTGACACGCAGGAAGGACATGTTGAAGCACTGCTCCTTCTCGCAGTGCATGATGACGCTCTGAATGTTCTCGGGAAAGTAGAGCGTGCCATTGTAGACAGTGAGAGAGTTGACCGACGTGATCGGGCTGGCCTCCAGCACGATGTGCGTCTCGTTCTTGGGTATATCGTAGTAGGCAATGCCCGAGTTATCGTACGCATAGTACAAACGCTGCGAGTCAAAGTCCATGGTCAGACTCTGCATGCTATTGTTGTGCGTGTGTATGAGCAGACGATCGGAGCCATCGAGATTCGACTGTTCCAGCTTCCACAGCGAGGTGTCATGGGTGGAGTGAATCCAATACATTTTGCCACTGCGCAAAGAGAATGGAAATTAGTTAAAAATACCCGATTATGGGAAATGAATGAACTCACTTGGCCGGATCCAAGGCGATGCTGTCCACCATGTTGAGGTTCTCGTGTATGTGCGTGGTATACTCGCCCTGCAGATTGCTGGCCAGAATTGTGCCCACAAACTGACCCGAGGAGAAATACATGTGCTTGGCTATCCAATCGATGGCAAAGCCGTAGGGCTTGTCGATGTTCGTGTTGATAATGGGCCCAATCAGTCCGCTGGATATGCCCGCTTTGGCGATCTCATTCTGCTGTATGTCCGACCAGTAGATGTGACTGTCCTCCACCAGAAAGTCAATGCGTTGTGGAGCCACGAGCTGGGAAAGAATAAAAAATGATTAATAAGTTAAGTCATTCAATCTGGGAACTCTGCTCAATGCTCACCCTGGGCGACTGCCGAATGGTGGGTATGGTATGATGATTGGGCTGCTGGAGATCAATGCCGCGGATTTCCTCGCCTATGACAAATAGCAGGATCTGTTCGTTGGGCACGCAGTTGCGATCGTTTGAGGGATCCAGGCGCATCACATGCGGGCACTCGCACTTGAAGGTGCCGCGGCCGCTCAGCAGGCACAGGTGGGAGCAGCCGCCGTTGTTGTCGCCGCAGGGATTGCGGTCCCAGGGCTGGCGACTGGAGTGCAGCACCTGGATGCCAAAGGGCTGAGTGTGGGTGCGATGCAGCACCTGCACATCGCTGCCATTCCATTTGTTGGCTCGTATCACAGACGTCGTGCGCCAGTCCGTCCAGTACACATAGTTCTCGAACACGGAGATGGCAAACGGATGCGCCAGCATCTCCTTGCTGCGCAGCACCACATGATGCTCGGAGCCATCGTATTTGGTGCTGCATATCGAGTCCGACTTGGCGTCCACCCAATAGACGCGCTTCTGCGTGTAGTCCAGCGTTAGGCCGTTGGGCCAGCCGGCGCTTAGCTGCCAATTGGTGGATATTGTGCGCCTGCCCTCGCCGGCCATGCTGCAGCGTTCAATGCGCGGCGAGTTGTCATCCCAGTCGGTCCAGAACAGCAGACCCTCGCGTGGATCCAGCGCAATGGCGCGCGGACTCTCCATGTTGCCAGCTATCAAAGTTCTTCTGAAGCTGCCATTCAGCTTGGCCACCTCAATTTGGTCCATGTTCGAGTCGATCCAGTAGAGATTTTTGCCAATCCAATCCACAGCCAGGCCCTCCGTGGTGGACAGACCCGAGCGCACCACAGCCTCCACGTTGCGCAGACTCTCGCCAACCAGCTGGCCACGGTAGATCTTGTCGTCGATGACGTCTGTCCAGAAGATGTCCAGGCTGGACTCGTTGCTGTAGAGGAAGTCCAATGCGATGATGTTTCGCACCGCATTGTAAAAGCTGCTGGCGGTCAGCGTCTTCAGATTGATGCCACGTATATCCTGGCGATCCGTAAAGATGACATAGGGCTCATCCGGGGCGGTGCTCTTGCACGTGAACTTGTCGTAGGCCAGGTCGTAGCCCTCCAGGCACTGGCAGGCATAGCCCTTACCGCTGCTCTCGCACACCTGCGAGCAGGTGTCCCAGTGCTCGCAGGCGTGCTGCATGCTGCACCGCTTGCCGTTGGGCTGCAGGTAGAGGTGGGGCGGGCAGGAGCAGATGTAGCCCTCGGGCGTGTTGTGACAGTTGTGCGAGCACTCGTGGCCGTGATTGCACAGCTCGTCGGCGCACAGGAAGCCCTCGTCTGTGGTGTCCTCGCAGTCATTGTGGCCGTCGCACAGTTGGCTCACGGTGATGCACTTGTTGCTGAAGCCACACAAGCGATCCGGATGCTCACAGACGACCGTCTCGTTCATGTCAAACTTGCTCGGCTTCAGCTGAGTGCAGTTCACCTCGTCCGTCTTGTCGAAGCAGTGGTTGATGCCGTCGCAGCGCAGGAACTCTGGTATGCACTCGAACGGATCCGAGCAAGCGAACTCGAAGGGCGCACACTCATCGAGCTCCTTCCAGCCGCCAAGCGGATGATTGTCGCTCTTCGTCTGGTTGCAATTCGCCTCGTCGCTAAAGTCCTCACAGTCGTTGACCCCATCGCAAATGTGCATGTCTCCATAGCAGCCGATCGGGCGGCAGTAGCGCTCCCCATGTCCGCATTCATGCTCGCAGCCAAACTCATCCGCATTGTTGCTAAAAGAAGAAGAAGTAGAAGAAGAGGAGCAGGAGATATTTAACCCGTTTTGATTAGGTGCCACAGCTGTATTACCCGCAATTGTCCAGACCATCACAGATATCGGAGAACTGTCGACAGCGTCCATTGCCGCAGTCAAGCTCGGGGCACTTGCTGCCCAAAAAGAGCTCGAACGACTCGTCGGACGAGTCGTCGGGTCCACAATCGATGACACCGTCGTTCACCCAGCTGAGCTGAATGCAGCGGCCGCTCTTCTCGCAGGAGAACTCGTTGCTGTTGCAGGTATTGTGCTCGCAGTTCAGCTGATCCGACCCATCCGAGCAGTACGCAATGGAGCTGCACAGCAAGGCGCGCTGGTAGCACCGTCCGTTGCACACAAAGTGCAGCTTCTTATCACAGGTTTGCGCATTGCAGGGCCCCTGGCTGTCGTTGCTCTCGTCGCTGCCGTCGTCGCAGTCCTCGAAGCCGTCGCACAGATCCTTGCCGTCGATGCATTGTCCAGTGCTGCGGCACTGGTGCCCCGAGCTGCAGTTGGAGCGAACCGGCGCCGTCACCGTCGAGGGCGTCAGCTGCGGTATGCAATGCGTGCCCGTGCCGTTCAGCGTGTAGCCGTCGGGGCAGCGACAGATGGCGCCCTTGGGCGTGTTCAGGCACATGCCAGGGCACTTCGAGAGCGCACAGGCGCTGGGCGTGGCCGGCAGCGGCTGCGTGGCCACGTCAAAGACCCGCAAATCGATGGCATTGCCACTGTGCTGCAGATGCACCGTCGAGCTGAAGGTGCTGGTCATGTTCGCATGATGCACATGAAACCGCCAAATGGTCGAGTTAATGTTATCCACCCAGTAGACAACGCCATTGTGCTGCACTATGGCAAACGGATGCAGCTGCTCCGACTTCAAAAGCACCTCTCGCCCAGTGCCGTCCAGCTTCATGCGCTCGATGGTGCCCAGCATGAAGTCACACCAATAGATGCGCTTCGCGCGCCTGTCCACGTCCAGGCTTCGCGGCCAACGCATGCTCAGCTGCTGCGTCGATTTGGCCAACAGCTCCTTGTGCGTGCCATCCATCCAGGCGCTGATGATGGCCGCTTCGCACGACGCAAACGCCCACTGCGTCCAGTAGAGCAGCCCAGTGCCAGGATCCAATTCCAATGACCTACAAAGACAAATTGATTTGATTAGAATTGCCATCAATCGAGCCCAGCCAAACAGGGATGGGACCAGCTGCTTACATGGGATTGCAGTCAATATTGAAGGTGAGCATCTTGCTCATGTTGCGCAGCGGGGCGACATGCAGCTTCTGGTATTCAGTCCAATACAGATGGTCGTTCACCCAGTCGTAGGCCATGGCGCGCACCTTGCGCCAGCCCGTGGACAGAGTGCGCGAGACGCTGCCGTTGAGCGACTGGCTCCTGATGGCGTAGACGGGCTCGTCGGTGCTGAGGGACGCCTCCTGATCGGGTATCACATACAAAATGGATTTGCCACGCACATTTACATCGATGGCCTTCGGCCCGGTCACATTGCGAATGGGCACCATGACGTCGGGCTCCTCGCCCAGCTGCTCCAGCTGCTGCACCTGCTCGGTGCCCAGCGGCACGCCCGTGATGCGCACCAAACGCTTGTCGGAGTACACCAGAAATTTATCGTGCGCGGAGAGCAAACAGGTCGTCTGATTGTGCAATTTATAGCCGGCTGTACAGAGGCACTTGGCGCTGGCAAATCCGCGCGTCCACAGCGGCACACAAATCTGGTTGCAATTGCCGTTGTTCTCCCGGCACGGATGCGCCACCTCCGGCTGCTTCTGGCGGTGGAAAATGCGAAAATGTGTGCCGCGTGTCACATTCGCCAGCAGCACGCGCGCCTTCAGCGTGAATTTGTCGAGGCCAGCGATGGCGCGGTCCGTCCAGGCAGCCAAATAAATTGTGTTCTCGAACACCTCCACCGCCTGGATGGTCTTCAAAGGCAGCGGCGACTGTAAACAACGGAAATTGCGTTAAACAAAACAATGGCAAACAACGTTGGGCTTTTCTCTGATAAGCCCTCTCTCTTTTCAGATTTTGTTTGAGCGCCCAACGGTTTATAGGTCATGAAAATAGTTGTAGTTTTTTTTAACTGAGGGAATATTGGTATGGAAAACTTGGTGTATGGGACACTATGAATTAGCCTTAGAAAGTCTAAGTTTAATATTTTGCATATAAAATAAACAAATAATAAATCAATTTAATAACTTATAATAAAATATTATATATAATAAATTAATTATAAAAATTTAAATAAATCATAAATAAAATAAATAAATGAAAACAAATATGTATAACATTTGTTTTATTTCTATTTCCTCTAAGTATTTCTTTTAAGTACATCCTTTAAAAATTTCCTACAAGTATTTCCTCAAAGTATTTTCTTCAAGTATTTCCTCTAAGTTATTTCTTCTTAGTGTTTCATTGTAATATTCTTTCTTAGTATTTCCTCTTAGTATTCCTCTTAATAGTTCCGATTAGTATTAGAGGAACAAATATTCCCGTTAAGTATTACCTCTTAGTCTGTTCTCATATTATTCCCTCTTAATATGTCCTATTAGTATGAGAGGACTAAGTACTTCATTATAATGCTTTGCTTCAGCCACCAGGCCTGGGCGACTGCATAAATGCTGCAGCAGCGGCCCTTTATATAGGGCAACTATCACTCATAGCTTAGGTCGCGCTCAAATGTTGAGAGCGGTGTCAGGTAGAGGTCGTTGCAATCGACCAGTGGGAATACTCTCTGCTGGCTTCGTTTTACTTAAGTATAAATACCGAATGCAAGCTGCTGCATACACATAGACAGCTTAAATGATCTATAGATCAACTTCGTGCCTTGCTCTCCTTAGGCAGGCAGAGAGACAGTCAGATTGACAGATATATAGAGACAGACATACGAACAGATATATAGACAGTCAGTCTAGCATAGTTAAATGCATATGTATGCATATGTCTTATAAGACTAAATTATGATATGCTAGATTAATTATGTACATTAATATTTTAAATTATTATATGACATAGACAAATGTTTCTCCTGTTCTATATTTCACTTTATATATACAACTCGTGATACAAGACTCTCGATATAGACATATGCAGAGACCTTTCCTTATACTACATAGCCTAACTAGCTTTTCCATGCTCTCTTTCCTAAACAAGTTAAGCTCTCTCAAATAATGATTAGTATATAAAGTAAACCACTCACATCTGGTAACTTTTTCAGTGCCCAACGCTGTTGTCCCTCGTAGTTGACGCGCTCAATGATGTCCTTGTAGACGTCAATCCAGTAGACATGCTCGCTGGCCAAGTCCAAGGTGACGCTGCTCAGATGATAGACCTGCGTGTTGACCAGTGTGGTGCGATTGCTGCCGTCGAGCAGAGCGCGCGACAGGCTTGGCGACCAGTCCGTGTAGAACAGATAGCCCTTGGTTGGGTCCAGCACCAGAGACGATGGCTGCTCCACCTGCTGCAGTATGAGCCGGCAAAAGGTGACCGCATTGGTGCACAGATAGACCATGCCGTCGTCTTCGTTCAGGAAATACCAATTGCCCGACAGCCAGTCCAAGCGCATCTCCACAAAAACTGCAATCGAGGGCAGCAAAACAAAGCATCAGCAAACACATGCAGAAATTATGACCAGATGGGACTGGGAATGGTACTGGGACTGGGACTGGGACTCACTCTGGTGCGGCGAGTTAAATGCTGAGACAGGCAGCGTCCAATTAACGTTGGCGTCGTCGATGCGCTGGCACTGTATGACCAGCTCGGACATCTTCTGCAGCATGCAGAGCGTGCGATTGCGATGCCAGACCTCGTAGGCGAGAGTGTACTGCACCGGCTGTGTGGACAGCAGTTCTCCGGCTCCGGTGCCATTGACGGCGGTGCTGATGCGTCGAATGGTGCCCACGGAGAGTAGCGACAGGGTCGCCGGCTCCGAGGGTGGCACTGTGAAATTAAGCGGAGGATGTGTTTAGTGCTGGCCAATAAAAACAGCTCACAATTTGCGAGCTCACCATTTATGGCCCGACAGTGGCTGCCCTGCTTGGCGTAGCCGGAAATGCAGGAGCACTCATAGGAGCCGGGCGTATTGCGGCACTGCTGGTCACAAGTGCCGGGCACACTGCACTCATCGTAGTCCACGCAGCGCGTCGAGTTGGCCGACTCCGGCACCTGCCCGGCGGGGCAGTAGCAGCGGGCACCCCGAGGCGTCAGCTTGCAGTTGTAGCTGCAGTTGAGCGCAGCGCAGGCGACATTTTGTTTATCTGCAACAGTTTTCGACAGAGGGGGATCAAAGCGTTTGATTTGTGGTGCCATGCCTTCTACTTACCACATTGCAGCTCGTCGTTATCACAGTCCCAGTGGCCGTCGCAGAAGCGCGACAGCTCCAGGCAGGCGCCGTTGTGGCACTCGGCTTCAAAGGCGCGACACTGGGCCGCAACGCTATCGGGACCTGTCGTCAAAGGGTCGCCGATAATTTAGCAGGGATTAAAGATTAAAGATTATTGGGGGCATTTGGTATTTGTGATTTGGGCTAATAAGCGCAGTCGTAGTGCATAATGCATTTCGGCTACTTACATTTGGTCTCATCCGATATGTCCCCCTTGCCGCAGTCGTATTCCCCGTCGCACACCCAATTGCTGGGGATGCATTTCAGGCTCTGGCCACAGCGAAACTGTCCCTCGTTGCATTTGGGCGACTTGGCTGCAAAGGAGGGCGAACAGAAACCACAATAACAATAACGCAAATGAAGATTTATGAACGGTTTGTTAGCGGTTGCGTTGGTTTTACGCTATTTGCTCGCTGGGGCAGGCATGGGGTGGTCGAGTGCCCTGTGGCTTGGGGCTCTGGCATTCATTGTCTGCTGCTCTGCTGCTCTACTGTGCTGTGGCAACGAATCACTGAATTATTTTCCAAATAAGCAAACTACAAGTTAAGTTTTTATGCATGGTTTGAGCTGCATTCGCAAGTTGTTGTTGCCCGATAAAGTTTCAAGTGCTCCTATAGATAACAGTTTTAAACGGCTCCAATATCAAGAGATATACGTGTGCTCTTAAAACTCTTAGAAACCAACTGAAACTACTTAAATTAAGCGCTATATAGAGCGTGTGTATTTTGTTAATGGATAACACCACCCTTCTCCCGACTTAAGCGCGCATAATACGTGTCAGAAATGGGTGGATACGTCGCCCTACATAGAGATATAGTATACTACTATAGTAGAGATATAATGATCCAAAGAAAAATATAAGCCGAAATTCTATAGAGTATTTATAAATCCACAAATATGTAGTTAAGGCAGCTGCATGACAAAAGCTGAATGCTACGAGACTCGATTTGCATTAATAAAACTTGTGGAAATATTGATTATAATTTGCTCTTTCAGGAAATAAGTATAGCCCCATAAATGCCTCTGAAGTCCAACTCCTCTAGTGAATATGACAAAAACAAAACTTGAAACTTGAATTAGGGGGCTGCATGACAAAAGCTGAATGCTACAAAGCTCGATTTAGAGACCATCAATGCCAATGACTGAATAATATGAATTCCGTGCTCATGAAATATAAAACATATTAATGATTCATAGATGCTCTTAATTGGTGTCCTCTAGCGAATTTACGGGAGAAGATAAATGCGATGAGACTGCATGACAGAAGCTGAATGATATGACACTCGATGGATGCTACATTTGTACGTATATAAAACTTGTGGAAATATTGATCAGAATTCGCTCGCTAAATACACGGCATAGCCATATTACTGATTAAGAAACTGTGCTCAACTCTTCTAGTTAATGTTACAAAGGCAAAGCCTGAAACTTGAGCTAAGGCAGCTGCATGACAAAAGCTGAATGCTACAAGAATCGATAAAGTTGCATTAATAAAACTTGTGGAACAATTGGTCATAATTTGCTTTTTTAGGAGAAAAGCATAGCCCCATTAATGTGACAAAAATAAAACTTGAAACTTGAGTTAGGAAAGCTGCATGACAAAAGCTGAGTGCTACAAGAATCGGTGTACATCATTGGTCCTTCAATGGAAGGCTGCATATTATGAAGAATGTTTAGCCCTGACTTAAGTTACATAAAGCATTTTAAATCTATCAACACATCAAGCCATCAGGTTCGATAATAATACTCGATTTCGATAACTACTCGACAGCTATTTACCGATATCTATGAAACATGTGAAAATATTGATCATATTTGCTTGAAACTTGAGTTAAGGCAGCTGCATGACAAAAGCTGAATGCTATGAGAATCGATGGAAGTTGCATTAATAAAACTTGTGGAACAATTGGTCATAATTTGCTCTTTTAGGAGAAAAGCATAGCCCCATTAATGTCTCTGAAACTGTGGGCCATCATTTCTTCAAGTGAATGTCATAAAAATAAAACTTGAAACTTGAATTAGGGGGCTGCATGACAAAAGCTGAATGCTACAAAACTCGATTTAGAGACCATCAATGCCAATGACTGAATAATATGAATTCCGTGCTCATGAAATATAAAACATATTAATGATTCATAGATGCTCTTAATTGGTGTCCTCTAGCGAATTTACGGGAGAAGATAAATGCGATGAGACTGCATGACAGAAGCTGAATGATATGACACTCGATGGATGCTACATTTGTACGTATATAAAACTTGTGGAAATATTGATCAGAATTCGCTCGCTAAATACACGGCATAGCCATATTACTGATTAAGAAACTGTGCTCAACTCTTCTAGTTAATGTTACAAAGGCAAAGCCTGAAACTTCAGTTAAGGCAGCTGCATGACAAAAGCTGAATGCTACGAGACTCGATGGAAGTTTGCATTACTAAACCTGTGGAAATGTTCATTATAATTTGCTCTTTTAGGAAAAAAGTACAGCCCCATGAATGCCTCTAAAACTGTGGGCCATCTCCTCTAGTGAAAGTGACCAAAAAAAACTTGAAACTTGAGTTGGAGCAGATGCATGACAAAAGCTGAATGCTACGAGACTCGATGGAAGTTTGCATTACTAAAACTTGTGGAAATATTCATTATAATTTGCTCTTTTAGGAAAAAAGTACAGCCCCATGAATGCCTCTGAAACTGTGGGCCAACTCCTCTAGTGAATGTAAAAAAAAACTTGAAACTTGAGTTGAGGCAGATGCATGACAAAAGCTGAATGCTATGAGACTCGATGGAAGTGTGCATTAATAAAACTTGTGGAAATATTCATTATAATTTGCTCTTTTAGGAAAAAAGTACAGCCCCATGAAT